TAAACGAAGGAAAAATAGCCGTGTGTGTGTGTGTGTGTGTGTGTGTGTGTGTGTGTGTTCATGTTCTCCTTCCCTTATGAGTGCTATCTGGGTTTGACTCAGACTCATTGGGGGTACCCCAGAACTTTATACATGCTCTTGTTCAAGCCCCAATGTCAAGAAAAACATTGGTGTCCTTCCTGGTACCAACAGACCCTGGCTATGTCACACACACTTGACCCCTCTGGGTTAAAGCTGATGCCACATCTGGGTTGGTCTGTCCTTCGTTCTATTTATGCAAGGCACACTGTGCTCCCTAAACGTAGGCGAGGGACTTTACTGCTGGTGCCACCCTGTGTCATCCATAGCTTGTGGTAGGCATTTGTGAGTCATCCCAGGGATTCAGTTGCACTGGTATTGATAACTACAAGTGTGTGTCCATTTCAGTCAGACATTTTAAAATAATCTGTAACTCTGGGAGACTGATTGGAGGAAGGAGGCTGGGATTTGTATCAAACTGAAAAGAAAAGGACAGAACAGGAAACTCCTGGGGTTAGTCAAGCTTTCTGGCTTCCAGAAGAAGAGAAACTGCAGAAGAGATTTTCGTTGGACGGATAGAAGTCGGCTCCCGTGGCCACAGTCTTGTCTGACTCACCATCCACTCTGATCCAAACATTCACTGAGCATGCCCTCTTGCATTCCACAAAGGCCCAGCATGGCTCTTTCTTCCTGTAGCCTGTGATTCTGCACTGACTCGGGTGCTGTAAAGTGACATTCAAGCAGCATCACTGTCTAACTGGAAGACACACGACCTTATATGCTAAACACACACTCCAGCAAATGCCATACCCATCGGCCTGAGGTTAGCTTTTTGAACAAGTAAAAAGAATCTGACTACATGCTTTTGGTAAATTCTGGTGCCTGAGATACATGTCAGTAGCAAATACAAATGTGTAGACTTATAAGTAAATTAAAAAGCTCAGGTTGAGCTGTCTGACTTTCACCACAAGTCTGGATTTTAACCCTGGGAATAACTACTCAGACCAGCTGCAGATGAGCCTGGGATGTGGTGCTTGTGTGCTTTTACCCAATAGACGAGCATGCATGTAGGAACAAGGCAACATTTTAAAATGCATTTATTAACTTTTAAGCACACACCCAGCAGCTTTACAAAGTTTGTTGAATACGAATTTCGGATGTACTTCATTAAAATAATGAAGATTAATTTATACCTCGTGATTTAAAACATGCTAGGGAGATCCCCACTAGGAGTGAGCTGTAAAGCAGGACTCGGTCTGGACTGCGGGATTCCCGTCGTGCGCAGAGCAGAGAGAGCACAGGAGATGGCAGCAGTCCTGTGGGACTTACCAGAGATTTGACATCTTGATCCTTTTGGCTTGTTGCATTCTTCATCAGATAGTCTTTTTTTATTCCCTCCGGAAACATGGTATAACCACATCACCCCCCCTCCCCGACACACACACACACACACACACGCACGCACGCACGCACGCACGCACACACGCACGCACACACCACGTACTCTGACGTTCATACAGATGACACCGGCAGCCTGAGCCCTGGCATAGGCTGGCCACACCCCCCCCCCCCGTTCCCCCCACCTGGACAGACAAGCCTGCAGTCTGGTCACTGCCATGAGCCCGCATTCTGTCCTAGTCTTTGATTATGGGGATGGGGTTTCTGCCCCAAGTATTCGTGTTCCCCTGTTCTTGGCCTCAGGGGCTAGCCTCAACCTACTTTCCCGTCCAGACCACTGTTTTTTTTTTTTTTTTTTGGTTTTTCGAGACAGGGTTTCTCTGTGTAGCTTTGCGCCTTTCCTGGAGCTCACTTGGTAGCCCAGGCTGGCCTCGAACTCACAGAGATCCGCCTGGCTCTGCCTCCCGAGTGCTGGGATTAAAGGCGTGCGCCACCAACGCCCGGCTCAGACCACTGTTTTATAGGCAAAGCTTCAGGAAGTAACCGTGAGACTCTTTATCACTCAGCTATTTTTCAACATGGTCAGTCTTTGGGTTTTTGAGCTAACAGTCTTAGAGCCAGACAGAACTTCTGAGCATATGCATATTTTATGTAGTTCTAGATTAATAATCTGGTTATGTATCTAATTAATTGTCTCATTTTACTGACAAAAGTATAAGATATTGTTTGAGATAGAGTCTCACTATAGTTCTAGCTGACCTGGAATTCACTATGTGAAGCTAACTTCCAACTCACAGAGATCCACTTGTTTGCTCTTGTCAAGTGCTGGGATTCAAGGTGCACACCACCACACCCAGCTCTAAAATGCTTTTTAAATAATATAAATATAAATATAAATAAACTTCAAGGTTCATTTAATGGCTTCCAACCTAATTCTTCATAGTTAAGGAACAAATTTCCTTAATAGGCTTAACTTTAAAGAACACTCTCCCACCCCTTTTATTTTCTTTCTTGGATAAGTAGATAAGGGGAAATATGTGTTTTAATATGTGTGGTGTAATGTGGTGTAGTGCATATGATTTCCTGATTGAGCATCTGTCTTCTGTGTTCTAACAACATGAGATTTTATAATCTGAACCCCCAAGTCTTTAAATTTCAAATGACGCATCTGCTGCACTTACATGTAGTGAGGGCACCTGTGCAGTGACCTTTCACCGGGCGCTGGCATGCAGCATCCTCTGCATTTTTCAGATTTGAACTTGTAAGTGGTCTTCTCTGTCAGCAAGCCAGCAGGTGTTCTGCCTTTTAAAGAAGTACAGTAATGATCATGTCTACTGTCCTAGCTCACGGGATGCAAAGGAACCCGCGGTGCTTGGCGGTGATTCACCTGAAGCTTTGTTCGCAGAGGAGGAGCATCAGGAGCAGCACCTCCAGCCTGCGGTGCTGGAAACAAGCACCCCTCTTGTCTGTGTACAAACCTGGACTTTCACCTGTCAGAGTAAAGGGAAAGATTACTAACAAGTCTCCTGCCTATTTAGCCGGGAGGTCCATGCATACAACCCCCCCCCCAAGTGAATTACTCCCGCTTCTCGGCATGGCAATGCTTATTTAATAAAGCTGTTTATGAAAACTCCTCAAGTGTGTGGTCCCCTTCCCCACAGCGTGGCACTGCTGCCGCCAAGTGACAAGTCAGAAACATCAGCAAACCCTGACAATCGGAGCATCCATTCTTCCTTCCCAAACCAGGGCCCCTGCCCTCACTCAGAAGGTGCTGTATCTTCCCTCCTAAATCATGCTGCACCTGCGGGGTGCCCTTTGAACACAGGATTCTAAGAAAAGAATATCGTGAGTCATTAAGAAAATAATTTCTCTGACTATATCTAATTTTAGGGTTAAGGATGTTTGGGGTTTGTTTCTTAACTATGCTTGGTCAGCCTCTCAGAGTCTTATGCAAAAATCCTGGCGAGCCACAGGAGGGAAATTCTCCCTCTGAAACCTCTCCGTCACATCTCCAAACTCTAGGAACAAGGAGTACTTGGGGTCATATGCAAAGACCATTCTCTTCAGCCACCTCATTCTTGCACTGGGCTAAGAGCTTTTCAATTGCTGTGACATTTTCAGCCAGGGAAGGAGTGGTGCTTCTGCACTGCCATGTCTTACAGACGATTACTTTATATGATCAATGGAGCAATTCCCTTTCCAGAAAGGAACCAAAGCGATCAAGTTAAATCATTAAAGAGAGAAAGAGCGAGTGGGGGGAGAGGCTCCATCTCATTAGCAGGTCCCAGAGCCGCAGCCCCTGTGGTAGTGCCACACAGTGTCACTGGCCCTTTAAGACAATGACTGCACTCTCTCGGCTATTGCCCGCCTCCCTTCCTGTGGCTGTCTCCGGGTCTAAACCTCCCGAGCAGTCCATTGTGGCCACAGTAGGAGGGACCTGCAGAAAATGTGCCAAAGCCAGGCGGGGGCTAGAGGCTTTCAATAAGCCCCACAGCTGGAGAGGAGCCACTATGCTAAACAGCGGGGCTGGGACCAGGCATGTGATGGGGAAAGGGGTCAAACCCGACACCTCCTACAGGCTTTCTGAGCCCAGTGTGGTTCAATTGGATGGCATCTTCTAGCTGGCTTTTCTCTGTTTGCTTAATATGCAGAGGTATTTAGCTTAAAAGCACTAAATGCCTCAAGGAGGAGGTTCCCCTCCCTCCCTCTCCATGAAATGTTACTAAGGGAAGGGCCGTCTAAGTATTTTCTCTCTTTCCGCCCCCAAACTAATACTGTTTTCTTTTTGGTTCTGTCTCATGGCTCAACACAGGCGTTTTCCCACCACACACCCTTTGCCGATTTCACAAGCATGACTCTCCTGCCCAGGCTTTGTGTAGCACCCAGGCCATCCTTCAAGTCCTGGGAGCTGGACTCTTGCATCCCACCACACATTTATTGTACATGCATCTACTATGTACCCACGACTGCTCTCAGGGCTTCCTGAAGCCCAGAAGTAGATGAGGTCTGCTTCCCATTCGTGCCGTGTGGGGTCCCGAAGAGGGAGTAAAAAGCTCATTTACCCAGGGTTGTGAGGGTCATTTTACATCCGTGTACCTCAGTATTTGGAGAACACTAACTAAACAGGGTGGGGGAGGCCAAGAAGGGACCTGGGATGCTCTGGTTGCTGTGTCCAATGTGCCTTGGGAAACAAGGACTAATTTTTTACTTTGTCCCACCACGAAAAGTCAAGGATGAGAAGCTGGTGTGGTTCCTGGCTCGGGCAGCCCTCACCCATCCATAACTCCTGATATTCAGATGACAGTTTCCTGTGTTTGTGATACTTCTACTTTCTTGTTTCTCACTTGATGCAGTGAGGCATTTTCTCTGTCTTACAGATGAAAACATCTGAGGCCCAGGACTAAGCACCCAAGGCCAACAACAGAGGTACTGGGACTGGGCGCCAAGGTACCCTGAGCCAGGAGCCAAGCACCTCTGCCATCCCTCCTCCCAGACTGTCAGCCAGCGGGAGTCTGTGACTTATGAGCCACAGGAAACAAAGCCAAGTGTTGTCACAGTGAAACTCTTTTCTTCCCCTCCTGCAGATGGAGAGTGTCGGTGTGTACGGATTCTGTGGGTGTAAAGGAAAGAGCAAAATGAAGTGTGATTCAAAGTGGGAAATAACCGCAGCAGGTAGGAAATGAACTCACGTGTGTAAGTATTGGATGGGGCATCTGAAATGATCCCTCTTTAGGGGGACCGGGCACATCGGGAACTGGTACATTTACACTTATGCACACCAGCCACATGGGCTCCCCAGAAGGCACAGCTGGACCACAGGAGGGGTTTGAAAGGGTGCTTCAGAGGGACTGTGGACAGCGTATGGAGTGGGGACTGGCGTCTGTGGGCCTTCTTGGGCTCCTGCCGGCTCCTAGTTCCGAGCTGGTGGCCCTGGAGATCGGCTACATGTGGTGCCATATGCAGGCAAGAAGAGACAGCCTTTCTGGTGTTCCGAGCTTGTTTATGCTTTAACATGTCTGTCCGTTTTCAGGATAGTCTTCTTACCCCTCCTTCCTCACTCCTCCCTCCAATTCCGGAGAAAACAAGTGGGCTATTCATGCAAAAAGAGAAGAAAGAGTGAGAAAGGCGGGGATGCCACCGACAGACCCCATTGAAAGCCGCTGGCTGTTCATTTACATTCACACTTTTTAAAAATGTTAACTAATGATGTTAAATGGTCCGCCAAAGGTCCTGGCAGGTCAGTTGTGGAAGTGTCATTTCTGCCTAATTAGGGCTCTTGTGGCTGCCCCGGGCCTTGCAGTGCCACCGGTGACAAGCAGGAGCTGACAGCTTCAATTGCTGCCCGGAGGAAGGTTGGGCCGGCGTGTTTTCCAACTCAGCCAGGTGTTTGCTGAATGGGGGAGGGGGCCTGGCGAGATCTGAGCCAGCTTCTATGATCCTTTTTCTTTGGCTCTGCCCTCCCAAGTCCTTCCCCTTTGCCTGTCTTGTCTTGTGTCAAGGTCAAGAATGGGCTTTGCTAAATCAGCCATTTGGATTATCTCTGGGAGGTCGTTAGCAGCCCCTGCCCAGACTTTTCAAGTGGTCCCAGACCCCAGATGCTAGAATTTCTTTCCCTTCTCTAAAAAATCAGGGAAAAAGAATAATTTTATTTATTTATTTATTTATTTATTTATTTATTTATTTATTTATTTATTTATTTATTTTGCTCTGGGTAGTAAACAGTGATGAGAAGAAAAGGAAACTAAGAGTTGTCTCAGAAAGCTCTGCATCCAAGTGTTAAAATCACCACCAACAGAACTGTTAAAGAGAAACATCCACAGCACCACAACACACTGCTTTAAGTATTGAAAAGAAACCAGTGACGGGAACAATTCCGGCTGGGTTCAGTGGGCTGGGTTGTACCTGCCACCCAGCAGGTGTCTGCTCAGCTGTTTCTTGGTTTGAGAGACAAAGTTGAGAAGGTTTTGAAGCTGCTGTTTTTCTGTCTGCCCACACTGTTCCAGCTATGCTTTCTGAAATACCCAGCTGCTCCTAAAGTAAACACGAACTTGTAGGTTGATCTGATAACCTTGGTTTTTGTTTTTGTTTGTTTGTTTGTTTTTTGTTTTTCTTTCATAGCAAAACAAGCTAACCATCCTTGGTGCTAGGTCCCCCTGACTGCAGCAACAGCTACAGAGATGATCCCACAGCAGGGCAGGGCGTCTGAGTCTATGTGCCCCCGCCCTGCTTGGGTGTGAATTAAACACAGAAACACTTGAGAACACATGAACACATGTGCACACACAGAGCGCATTACTGGGTCTTTGGCACAACAGCAGGATAATACATGGGCACTTGGGAACAATGCTATGGTATGGGGGAAACTGAGATGGAAAAATCAATGCTTAATGAAAATCCAAGACTAGACCCAAAGGTCTGAAGAGGTAAGGAGTGTCTGAGAGGTGGTGTTCCATCCTCTTTTGTTTACCTCCCCCCTTCCCAGCTGTGGCTTCTGTTTTCTCTCATACTGAAGAGTGAGAATTGGGGCTGATGGTTTTTGTCAGAGGAGGGTCACAGGCACACATCTGGGCCAATACTCGTGACCTACTGGGTGCTCAGTGCCAGCAGCAGAACTCTCTCTTCCTCCCCAAGTCCACATGGCTGGATTATGTGTCCTTCTGTGGCATCAAGCTGTTTTCTCTAGTCAGTGAGCCTACTAAGTGCAGACAGAGACTGGACACTCAGCTCTGCCGCTTTGAAGCCTGGCAGAGAAGGTGCTCAGGACACACTTGGACAGAGAGAACCGACAGGATTGGCTGATAGGCTGTGCTCGGGAATGAAGCATGAGGAAACTGTCCCGGATTTATTTCAGAAGTTTCTTTCGTCTACCCAGGGTTGGGGGGGCGCTCCTCCATCACTAACATTGAGTCTTATCTTAGGCTGGTTCCTCCCCACGACCCATCATGTCACCCTGAGTCTTTCTCCTCTTAGGTGACCTTCTTTGTGCCTCTCACAGTCCCTGGGGCTGTTGTTTATTTCCTAGTGCTTTTTGCCCCAGACACATGTGCCTTCAGCTCCTGAGAACAGTTCTACACGCTTTCTGGCCTGTCCTCCCACACCCATCTCCATTTTGGAGTCTTGACCCTTGAGGCTGAGACTGCAGTCACCCTCCTCGGAGGGCAAGTCATTGCTGTGTGAATCCTGTGAGTGCAGAAAAATGTGGCCACTTAAGAGTCTCCTTGTGGTGAGAAGGATAGGTATTTAAAAATCACTGGGAAGGGATTAGTGGTAAAGAAAACCTTCCATGGCATCTAAGTCAAAATGGAAAAAAACAAGCTAATTAGTTACAAAAACTGAAACAAGACACTTTTGACCATGTAGAGCAAGGATCACGTGGACGGCAGCAGTGGTGTTTGCAGTAACTGGTCACCACATGGTGACCCCGGAAAGGTAAAGTCATGTCCGGTTAACTTTACCTAAACTCTCTGAGAGGCAAACCTGAGTTGTGGTATTATGTTGTTCAGCTCTTGAGCACCTTCTCCAGATCTCACCCCAGTTCTTCTTTGACCTCGATCTAACCCTTACTCTGAGTATGGTGGTTCTCTGGGCCTGTTGGGATGTTTCATGCCTCCAGGCCTCTGAACAAACTGGTTCTCAGTTGGACTGCTTGCCCTTCCTCATTTGGTCTTCTCACAAGCACCTGTTCCTAGAAAGACTGAGCTCCACACAGCATCCTCCTGTGCCTCTTGAGTTAGACTGGCCTTTCTGTCTTTCTGTACCTGCTCCAATTTAATATCCTTCTTAATAATGATAATTAATAACGATACACAGAATGATAGCTCACATTACTGAGCACCTTCTGGGGGCCCAGAAGTATAAGGGCTTTCAGTGTTACATCACCTAAGATTGACACTCCGAGAAGAAGGCACTGTCGTAGATACTCAACTTCATAACAGGGGCCCTGCAGCTCAAGTTGCATGCTGTATATCATCACATGGTCTCCAAGAAGTGAAGTTGAGACCGGAGCCCATCTCACATGGGTCAAGTCCATCTTGGCTGCTCTCAGTTTAGACCTCCAGAAGACACCCTGCCTCCTCTGGTAAACAGCCGATAGGTAGAGGCACTTCGGTTTTCAGTTTGTGTCCTCTCTGGATGGTGAGTTCCTTTGAGAGAATGACACTCATTTAACCTTGTGTTCGCGTGCCTAGCCAAGGACTGAAATACAGCAGAGACTCTTACTGTTGGTTGAATTTAATAAAGCTGAATTACGCTAAATGTTTATACATATGCATGTGTATATTCTTTCTCCTTGCCTGCTTGTGTATATGCCTACGTTAAATATATGTATGTATACACTTACATGCATATTTCATGCATATGTGCACATATTCATGTTGCATATGCCATATGCCAGTGTGTACACATATGTGCATATGTATGTAAACATGCCCTGCCCCTGTAACTATACAGTTTGGGATGGAAGAGAGTATCCGTGGCAGCCTGGAAGCATATAAATATGGTATGTGGTCTCATGGGCTGAATTCTGCGTTCAGCTTGGTGCCCTGAGGAATGGTGCCACCTGCATCGTGGCCTGCGTGTTCCTTGAGACTTGCCTACAAACTCGCCGATGTCTGCCCAGGTGATCTTGTTTAGATCAGAAGGTCCACTAGGGGAGGGGCCTCAGGGAGCATGGCGTGTCCCACTTTCCCTCCACATCATTTGAGGTGGAGAGAAGACAAACCCAACTGTTCAAGCATTTTCCATCCTCATTTGAGCCCTTGAGCCTGTGTGTTAATGGTGGTGAGCCACATAGTGTCCTGCAATGGGAGGCAGCTGTCAGCTTGACAGAGCCCAGAGTCACCTGGGAATTGAAGGATTCAACTGAAGGAGCGCCCAGATCAGATTTGCCTGTGGACATGTCTGTTGGGGGTTGTCTTGACTGTTCATTGATGTAGGAGGGCTCATCCCACTGTGGGTGTCACCATTCCCTGGGCAGTTGGTCCTGGGCTATCTTAGAAAGCTTATTAAGTGTAAACTTGATTGTGTCAGCAAGCAGCATTCATTCCTTCATGGTTTGGGCTTGGGTTTCTGCCCTGTATTTTCTCAATGATGGACTGTGACCACCAATAAGAGAAAATAAACCATTTCCCCCCAAGTTTCTTTTGGTCAGAGTGTTTTATTATGGCATTAGAGATTAAACTAAAACAGTGGTGCAGTATGGGAATGGCCAGGCTAATACTGACCCAGGGTGAAGGATCCCTTAGCCCAAACCAACGCTTTGCTGGAGTTTGAGACAACAGTGGATTGGGAGAGTTGATGAGGGTTGGGTGGCACCTAGTTTTGTGGCAACAAACCCTTCTATTTCTGTTTGATTATCTCTTGCCCCATAATACCTCTGGTATAGGGACCACTTTCGTGTGCCGTTCACCCACGATGCCTCACTGCCCACCACGCTGTGCTGTGCCGTGTCCAGACTCGCAGCCCCTCTGTGCTTCTCTCTGACATAGGACTCCAGTGGGGTGTGCAGGTCTGATGAAAACAAACACACACTAGTGTTCTTCCTGCATTTTCACACACTACAAGGCTGAGTTAACTGTGCTTCTGTAAGAATGGCACATCTTTCTGTGATGTTTCCTATTTTGGTTTGTAAATACTTGCAAATATTTAGCATTCTTTCACAGAAATCAGAACTC